CATCAAATGATACATCTTTGGGTAAATTTAATTGATGTGGGTCTCCTCCTTGACCATTTCCACCCACAACAATCGAACCTTGTGCGTCTCCTTCATACCATTGGATTATTCTATTATTTGAAGTGTCTGCAATAATGATTTGACTCAAATTATTAACGATCACTCCAGTAGGTTCAGTTAATTGGTTTAGACCATCTCCTCTCCCATTTCCTCCAGCCACAATAATTCCTTCTTTTGCATCTTTTGTCCATTTCATTACACGGTAATTGAGCTGATCCGCTACATAAAGAGAATAATCTTCATCGACGAAGATGTGGTAAGGACTGTAAAGTTGATCTCGACGATTTCCGTTACCATTTCCACCTGCAACTAGTGTTTCATCTGTGTCTCCTTCTTTCCATTGTCTCACTTCAGACTTCGTCTGATCAGAAACGTAAATAGACCCATCTTTGTCTATTGCCACACCGCCACAGTAAATATCAGAAGTGAGAATCTGTGGATTTGTTTGGCTTTGACGAAACCAACGCACTACTCTAAAGTTCCAAGAATCACATACGATTATCGCATTCTTTTCTTTGTCAACAATTGCGTCGATTGGCGTATCGAGTTGATCATCTCTATTTCCTTTTCCGTTTCCGCCTGCAACGATTTGAACACTGCCCGAATTATATTTCCATTCAACAATACGATGATTGTGAATGTCAGCAATCAAAATGGCTTTGTTATCATCAACACAGATCCCAAAAGAATAAGTGAGTTGATGTAATTGATCTCCGTATCCATGTCCTCCAGCAACAGTAATTCCATATTCTTTCCATTTGTTATATTTTGGCTTGCTTTGTACTAATAGCAAAGAAAAAAGATATGATATCAAATTAAAATCTAACAATATCGATTCAATCAAAGACGTTAGAACACAAAAGAGAGAATTAATTTTTATGAAGAAATTTTATTTTATTTTTTCAAAGTTCGAGAAGAAAGCACTGTAAAGATTGTTGATTTATCTCAAATCAAAAGCTTGGTTTTATTTTGAAAAGAAATATTGCATCATATATGAAAAAATATTTAAATTTGAATGAAATTAAAAAGAAAAATGGATTTTAAAGATTTGTTGAGTCTATGAATGAATGATTCGATCAAAGATCAAAATATTCTAATTTCCTTCTTCATTTATCAAATCTATTCTACAGATTTTCTTGGTATGTCATTCTATAAATTGTGTAAAAGATTTTTGTAAATCTGTATTCTTATCTTTCAACTTTAAGTAAAGAATGACAATATAAATTCACTTATACTAAACCCCCCCTATAATAGAAGCCCACCCCATATTAGAAGCCCCCCCGTATTAGAAGCCCACCCTGAGATGAGCAACGTGTTTGACGTATTAGAAGCCCCCCTAATTTTTCCAAAATTTTTTAAAATTTTTCATAATTTTTTCGAATTTCCCTGCTAAAGTTGCTAAAATTTCTCGATTTTAAGGTAAAATTTCGACTAACTCCTATCTAACTATGCTAAAATCTGGAAAAATTGCAAAAAAAAATTCTGAAAAACTCATGAAAACCTTGAAAATCTCTAAAAACCTTCCGAATCGGTTTCCTTATCATAGTCTAGGAAAATTTTTTGGGACCTAATAGAAGCCCCCTCCAAAAATTATAAACGGTAGCCAAATTAGAAGCCCAGGGGGCTTCTAATATGGGGGGGGGGTTTAAGACAAAAGGTCGTTTTGAATAAAAAAGAAGTAAATCATCTCGTTTTAAAATAGTTCTTCAAAATTCCTCTTTGCTAAATCGAACTATGAATTTCATGAATACTATCCATATTTCTTTTTGTAAAATATGATACCTTGTGTCGTCGGGTTGTCCACTGTTGTTTTAGATTTGTGAGTTGCTGTTTCTGCCGTCACAGTTGATGATTTTATCATGTTTGTTGTTTTTGTTGTCACAGTCGATAGGTTCATTACGTTTGTTGTTACAGTTGATGGCTTTATCATGTTTGTTGTTTCTGTCGGCACAGTTGATAGTTTTGTTATGTTTGTTGTCTCCTTTTTACTAATCACGATTGGAATAGTTATGATCACAATAACAATAATAATACCAATAATGATCCATAAGAATTTCTTTTTTACACAGAATTTGCTTCTATAATAAACAATTCTTTCGATTATGAATTTTAGCAATTCACAAAACACATACAACAATGTTGATCGATCAGTTGATGTCTGTTGAGAATTCGACGTAACTAGCTCAGACTAAAATATTTTATTAAAATCTTAGTTATTTTATTTTAGTTGAACAAAATATATTACATTACAAACTCCTATTTTATTTCGATTCACAATGAATGTTTTGGACATGTGTGAAATTGAAATAATATCTTATTAAAATCAATAATCTAAAATATCTATACGAAGAAATACTTGAGCAAAAATAAAACAATGAAAAACACTTCGTTTAAAAATCAATCGAAAGAAAATTATTAATATAAAAATATGTTTATAAGACTTCTTGGAATAGTTTTAAATGATTTTGTCAAACCTAAAAAAAAACATTTAAAAGAAGCCTTGCAATTTAAATTTGTCCTTGGAAGCTGAAAAATCTTTCTTTTTCTATTATTCACATAGCATTACGTCATACTGACCCGTACCCAAATCTAGTTGTCCAAGAACAAGAAGTTGTTTTGCAGTGCTATTATCAAGTAACTGACTAAAAAATTATTAAAGTGATAGAAAGCGCTTCAATATGCTGCTGCAAATTAATAATCATGAAAATAACATTTTTTTTCTTCTACAGAATAATATCAACATGAAGTATTTTTATTGAAACATCTGCAACAAAACACAACATTAGAAATAATTGGTAAATAAGAACAATAACTTCTGCTTCCTTTTTCAAAGCTTTTTTTTGAACTAAATCCTACCAGATGCCAGTTATAATATACTGTAAATAGAATAAATATTCATGATATTGAAACTTTGGAGGAGGGACATGAAAGAAAAAAATATTGAAAATCATCATTTAATGAAGAAAATGCAACGTTTTCTAACAGAGAAAACAGAATTGATATGAATAATGTATTTTGTGTAGAATGAAAGAACAAATACATCGATTAGAAAATCTATTTTGTAGCTGATCTTGATATATTCGATCTCTAATTAATACTTACATAATCATTGACACCCACTCACATCTACATTTATCTTTTAGTTACAAATAATTTAATTTAAATATGTAAAACAATATTCTGTCGCGTTATTTAAATTATATTTGAAATACTATAAAAATCCTAGTGCATGTAAGTTGCAGGAAAATATAAACCATCGGAATACTTTCTTTCAAATTTTCATATAGTTTATAGTCCTTTATACTGTTTAGGACATTTAGATCGACCAAAATCACGCGTTCAAACGATCGACAATTGTGTTGATAAATGATTGAGTAATTTTATGAGGTAATAATGATGAAACCAATATGATTTTAACAATATATGGATGTGCGGAATATACCTTTAATTTAAAACTACTAATAATATTATCTTATGATATTCTGGATTTTTTTTCGAAAGATGATTTGAATAACTGTTTATTTTTTTTTGCTTCTGTGTGGATTTTGTTATATATAAAATACTGTTTTATTTATTTAATTGTATTTCTTTGAACAAAAACGTAGTAATTTCAATTCAGTGTTTTACTAATTATGTAGATTTTTAATGCGATCAACATAAGTTGTTCTGTTCAATAGATAGTTTCTGATTTTTGAAGGTGTCCGTTCAGATAAATAAGAAGGAGTGAGTGCGAGTGTGTAATGAATATGATACTTACACCCACATTCACCCTCCATTTTTTCAGTAGTACGTTAAACATAAAAATGAAAAAATATCATCAATCAAACATTTACTTATATCCGAAGAAAAATCTATTCGTACAATGTCGTTCTTTATAATGAATGAATTGGAAATGATTGTTTTCTTCACATAATAATCAACTTGATATATTCATAGATACAGATGGTATTTTGTTGAAAATGTTTAATCTATTAAATTGTTTCATTCAACATCTGTTATTATTAAATATTCTATTGTTTTCATGATGATCTTTTCTTTCTTTATTTATATAAGTAAAAAAAAACAAAATATCATCATTCTCAAAACTATGTCGATATGGAATTATTTTCAACAATGTATCGTATCAATTCATCTTCGAATATGGTTAACATTAACAAAAATTATTCTTATTTTATTCTTCATTACTTTAATCAGTACTAATATATTTTATTATTATATTTATGTTCAAAGTTTAAAAGAAAAAACTTTTGATCAACAAATAAATTGTACAATAAATAAAATTAATAATAATATTCACATGTGTAATAATCGAGAAAGAAAACAATGTCAATTAGTCAGTGGTAACTGCTTGATTTCGAATAATTTACAAAATATCAAATTATATTTGACATGGTAAATTAATATATAAAAATCTTTCGTTTTTCTATGATGATTATATTTTTTTAGGTATGATTATGAAAGTTCATTATATCATTGTACAATTAATCCATGTTTAAATTCTATAAACGAACAATTCTTTATAAATCAATCATTGAATTTTATTTATTGGTCATCTCAATTTGAACGTGCCTATATAAAACGAATATCAAAATTATCAACAGATATAAGTCAAAATCTCTTATATATTTTATTAAGTATCACTATTTGCATATTTTTTCTTTTTGTTATATTTACAAAAATTCTTATTACTCATAAGAAATTCGAAAATGTTATTAATAATATACAAATACCAACGATTCGTATTGTTTATACTGTAGAACCAATAGAAGATAAAAATGATCAAATACAGACAAATTCGAGATCATCACCACAAAGATTACGGGTTCCAAAAGACACGATATTATTTAAATCAAATTACAATTCTATCAAATGAAAGTTAATCGAATATATCAAAGATAAAATTGCTTTTTTAATACTTTGTTTATTTATAATAAAACAGACTCTAACTTATAAATGACGTCTATGTTTCTGATGAAAACCGTATCATAATAGATCAAGGATTTCAAAATATAGATATATATATATGTATTATTTTTAGTGCTCATATTTCATCTTTACGATAAAAGAGAAATATTCACCGCATGTATTTTTAGAACATCAAGAAATTAAATCGATCAATTATCGTAATAACACCTTCAATTCATCAGTTACTAACCTTGACGACGAATTCACTAGAGAATATTTTACGTTTGAATGACATTTGGAAAGATTAAAAAGCAGGAAAAAGAAATAAGTACTTTTAATCCCGTTTAATCAGAAAGATCATTTATTCTATATTTGATGATAATGGAAATCTTAAAGAAAAGGATTCCGATACATTTAATCCTAAGAAAAAAAATTAACATGAATGATTTCATTTCTTTTTTTTCTTCTTCTTCTTATATATAAACTAATACATGAGATAATCAACTATCCTCATCTATATCTGAATACATGATCAAATAAATTCGTTTGTTCTTTTATTCATTCACTGCACAAATGCAAATACACATACACATATATTGAGCTAAGCTTATACATGATGTAGTTTTATTATGTATGTTATTAACTGCGAAGGTGAGCAAGGTAGTATATTGGTTCGATACTTCATAAAGGCCAAATTAAATCCTTTCGTACCATGAAAATGAGTAGTCATATCATTAGTGTTTCTTTTTCTATTTTTTTTTTTTTTGAAAAGGTGTCTAACATAAAGTCTCAATACAATGATTATATCAATAAGATGGATGATGATTTAAATGAAAGAAAGAAAGAAAAAAATACTTATGTATGATAGCCAGAGGGCAAAAAAAGATACAAAGAGAGCTTTAATCACTTCCAATAAGAAGAAGAAAAAAGCGAGAGAAGTCGTATGTAAATAACATAGGAAAGAAAAAGAGAACATTATGTTCAATAGATGCGACGTTTTCGTTCATATGTATATGTCGATCTAATGTTGAATACATTTGCTAACGCACTTGTGTGCATATAGATAGACAGTGAAGAGAAAAACGAAAAGCTATCAGTTTGTGATTGAATTGATCAATAAGAAAGAAAAATTACTATGCAAGTTATTTTATTCCCAAGACCAATTCTACATGGCAATCAATATCGTCCTATAACGGTGTGTATACTTATATTTTACATTCATATAGTATTTTCTAACCAAAATATTGTTTTGAGAGTCATAATCGTTTTTCGCTTTTTCTTTTTCTCTTCATCATTGATGCAGAATCGATTTAGTAATTATGTCTTACATGACGATTTTTCTTTCTTTACCTCTATTTTATTCATAAGAAAAACAGATTCGGTTATATATGAATCAAGACATCAAAACCTTGAGTCTTGTTAGCTTTCCTTTTTCCTTTTTTCTCTCTCTCGCTGTGTCTCTCTCAATCTGTCGTTCTTACACATACAATCCTCTCATTCCTTCTTTTTTTACTCGCTTGACTTACGATTAATCTTTTATCACATCACATACACGTTTTAACTTGTCTTCTTCTTCTTCTTGCTGTTCGTATTACTCATAATGTATAGTCAAGAATCGTCATCCGTGAGTAGATATCAATTGAATGTTTCGATATATTTTTAAAATGTCGTTGTCCTTATTTTGGATCAATATATTCTTTCTAATCTAATCTTTTCTATTAAAAGGTAAATTGATTCACATGTTTGAAATTGAACAGACACATTTTTCTTTTTTTAGTCACTCTTCTGTGAAAACTCATCTAGTTAGTCAGATAGAAGGAAATAGAGGAAGAAGAAGAAAAAAAAGAAAAATGTCGCATGTTACCTATTCTTTTCCTTTTACTCATATGATGTGTCGGATATACGAACGTGAGCAAGCCAATGAAGACTCCCTTTAGTATCGAACAAAAGACAGAGAAAAAAAGGAAAAAGACGGTCGCTTGTCGACATCATCGGGCTTTTTTATCACCATGCGACTTTAATTTTTCTACCTACATCAAATATATATATATATACATTCGTGCATATACAAGAGAGAGAGAAAAAGACAGTATTTATATTTATATATATATATATATTGAAGAGAAAAAAAACCATACCAAACTAAAAAAAAAGAAAGATGGCAGATGAAGTTGAAGATGAGCAATTGGATTCTGTGAGTAGTGTAATTCATAATAGAGATTAATTTGGAATTCTATTTTTCTTTCTAGCACACTTTATTAAATGATGAAGATGATCAAAAACTTCATTTATTTATTAAAGGTAAAACATAAAAAAAGAAACCAATTAATCTGATTATTTTTTTTCTATATTAGCTGGTAGAGATGGTCGAACAAAAGGTGCATGTCCATTCTGTCAAGATATCTTTCTTAAATTATTAATTAAGCGTGAAGCAGATAATGATTTTAGTTTTGATGTAATAACAATAAATTGTAAAAATCCACCGAAAGAATTTAAAGAAATCTCAAAAAAATTACCAGCACTTATTCATGGTGATACAACTTATAATGATATTGATGATATTGAAGATTATCTTGATTCATCATTTCCAAATTATAAATTAGCAACACAAGATCCTGAAGCATTCAAAATACAATCAAATGTATTCACACGTTTTACATATTTAATAAAAGATGTTCACAATAATCCAAGAATACTTTTGGATGAATTAGAAAAAATTAATAGTTTTCTTCGTACAAGAAATACAAAATATATATCTTCGAATCAAATTACAGGTCTTGATTGTTCGTTATGGCCAAAATTACAACATATTCGTGTTGCTGGTGAATATATACTAAACTTTACGATTCCAACTGAATTTTCAGCTCTATGGGCTTATCTCGGTATATATTAAAATCTAGATTTTTCTTACTATTCTTTTTGTTTTTTTGTGAAATCTAGGTTCTGCTTATGAACTTGATGCTTTCGTTAAATCTTGTCCATCGGATCAAGAAATTGTTTTACATTGGACACGTCGTGAAACATCATCAAAAGAATATCTTCAATTAACAAAAGACGAACCAAAATTTTCATTTAATCTACCAAATAAACTTCGTTAATTGGAATATAAAAAAAAAGAAGAATCTCTTTCTTTTTGTCTTCTATTATTTAAGTGTCATTGTATCTGTATTATCTATGTATGAATGATTGTTTTTGTTTTGACTCTATCATGTTATTGACATTAAGTTTTATTTTCTACATGGTGGATAACAAAGATAAAGAAAAGAAACCATTTGTATTAAGAGTAATAAAACAAAATATTTATAACTTATTGTTAAATTATATATTGTATGATGAACATTAACGATATCAAACAAAAAAACTGAATCGACTATAAATCTAATGATGATAGATTTCATTAAATGACATTACTAATAATCACCTATCATCATCAAGATCATATTGACATTTAGAGATACAAAAGAGATAATGAAACTAATTCAGCATAATTTTTATGATATTTGAACTTTTTGTTATGTAAATTGAGAGATCTGGTTCATGATTTTCTATTCTTATTAAATGATGTACTCTATGGAACCTTGTTTTCTTCGTCTCTTATATACTAAATTATTAATTGAAAAATGTGTATGAGTTTAAGATCTTAGATTGTCATATTTCTTTACCGCCTCTATGTTTATGACTAAGTACAGAACAGAAAATTAATAGTCGTTTTTATCAGATTTCTTTATATATCATTAATTATTATATTGTTGCTGTAATGTCAGGTATAGATTTAATGTTGATCGATACTGATAATCCAAGTACTATAGAAAAACATAAAACAAGTGAAATTATATATGAATGGTATTTATGGTCGTTTTTCAATGTCATATTTGGCTTTTTCATTATGGGTTTTATTGCTATTATTCTTTCTTTTCGTACGACAATGTATAAAGAAGCTGATAATACTTTCAAAGCACATCTATGGTCATATATCACTTTATTATGGAATATATTGGCTACATGTACAGGATTCAGTTTAATATTCTATATCGTATTGCAATATGAAAGATATTCTTAATGAGAATATTTAAAATATGTATATTTTATTTTTATTTAAATAAATAAAAAGTACACATTTATAGAGTTGAAACGATTATTAATTAGAAAGGTGGAATTGAATCACATGCATGAGGATCTTCGGATCTAGCAGATTTTAATTTGCATAAGAGTGCTCGACGACAGTTATGATTACATTCATAAGCTACACTCTTTCTATGATTTTGAACTACTAATTTCATTAATGGACCATCAATATTATTTTGTAATCGTTCAAGAAATTCACTCCAATCATTTGGAAATAAATTTTTCATTTCATAAGCATTTCGTGCATTGTATTCTTCATGAAAAATTGTTGTATTTTGAATATTTGTTTCTGTTAAATTCATAATTACTGTACGATGATCAAGTGCCCAATATGAACTATTAGAATAATCACCATCTATTGTAAAAATACGATAGCCTGGATTAAGATTTGAAAAAGTAGTTACTGATGGACCAATATAAGCCTAAAGAGAAAAAAACGAGGTAAACATAATTTATGATCAATGAAATTTATTTTTACCACTGAGACTGCACGTTTCTGATCGATTTCATCATAAAATACGGTAAATTCATCGGAATGAACATGTCCAAAAAATTGACCAGCTATAGTATTTTCATATCTAATATAAATCACAAATATTTATTATTATCATAGAAATATTATATCTTATTTACCGATTAACAACTTTGTAATAATTCCAACTAAATGCTGCTAAACATGAACTTGGTGGATGATGTCCAATAATATGTACTTTTTCTCCATGATCTTCCGCATATTGTAACCAATCAACCATCTACAAAAAAAACACAATTATCCTCCTGTTCTATTTAGTTTTAGTCAATCAAAATTTTACCCATTGAAGTTGATTTAATGGATCAGTTGAATTAATAAATAACCAAAAATTATCTTCAGCACAATAATTCATATTTAATGAAATTAATCGTAATCCTGGTCGTACTATTACTGTATAAAAAGCACCACGTACGATACTATCTCGTGTATCAGCTGGTAAACCAAGTTTAATCCAATTATCTGCTAATGATTGATATAACCATGTTATATTATCTGTTCGTACACTTGGTGTTGGAAACATATTGCATGGTGCTTGATATTAAAAAGAAACCTTTTTTAAGAGAAAATAATGTGTAAACAAATACTTATATACCTGCTTCATGATTACCAACAGCTGAATAGAATGTTTTATTTGGGAAAAGTGTAACTAACAATTGATTAATAGTATTTATTGAATAGAGTTGTTCATCTCGAGATTGATTCCAAACATTATGTGGTGGTAAATCACCAGTATAATAAATAAAATCAATCTATTTAAAAAAAAAACAGAATCATATAGGAATATCAGTTTTATAAAATAATAATTTACTTTTTCAACTTCAACAATACGTTTTAGTAAAGCTTCAACAGTCCAAAATGGAATATCACAATTTCGAAAATCACCCCTTGAATAATAAAAATAGATTACTTTCAGCATTAAATAATCTTACCAGAAACCAGCACCTGTTTGATTGGCAACTGTGGAAATGAAATTATATTTAAGATTTCTATTGTATACTATAAACTTACTTGGTTGACCTGCTCGACAACATAATGGATCAGGACAATCGGCAATTGAACCTGGTTTATAAGCAAAATCAACATGAATATCTGATAGATGAAGAACAGTCAATGTTGGTGATCCTGCCTAAAATAAAAATCAATAGTATAATTATTACTATATTATTCCTATTAAATTTTTACTGTTGGTGGTTGTGGTGGTCGTGGTGTTGGTTTTGGTTTATTAGGCAAAGTAACATTCCATTTTAAAAGTGGAAAATCAAATTGTGATTCACATTTAAATGCTAATGCGCATAAACCTTTGTTATTAAGAGGTGACATTGCAATGATTTCTAGAACTGAATTCTATTCGATAATAACAATATATGAATATGAATTATAAACCAAAAATCAAATTCATTACTTTATATAAATGAACAGCACCAACACAAACATCTACATCAATTTTTTTATATTCATTACATACAAACATAAGTACTGAATCGAAATGTTCTGTTTGATTAGTTGCAATAAGTATTCGAATCTAATATATATATATATATATGATAGAATATATAAAGTGAAATGAATCAACATACTACTGGAACCATAATATCACAAAATTCACATAATTCATCAGCATTTAATTTTCTAAGAGCCCAACGAAGTGTTTGAATATCAGTTGAATGCTCAAGACGATGTCGATAACTATTAACATTATTGTCTATTAACTTTCCTTCCTCATCTTGTGGTGAATTATTCAATAGCAAATCAGTACTATCTGGCAGAATTGAACGTGTTTCAATTGTAGTTATATAAATAGTTGCGAAACACAACACAACAAGTAAACGACTTGTTACCTCCATAGTGAAAATGAAAAATAACGAATAAGATAAGAAAACATTTTTTATAATAATTTATCTTATCTTCAAATGGCCTGATTCAACCACAAAAACATGTCCTTGATATAAGAAGTAAGTTCTAACTTTTTAGTATTCGATATAGGAATCCTTAAGATACAAGATTGTAATAATAATGATTTTTAGCAAATTAATAAATACTACAATAGCATATATCGTTATCACTCATTTTCTTTTGCATACTATTTGAAAAAAGTTATGCTATTGATTGGGTAAAGCTCAATCAGTTTAATTCATAATAATTCTCATATTCGTTTTAGAGTCAACATTATAATTTCATTTTAAGTTGAATGTTATGAGGACTTGTGAAAAAATATATATGAAATGAGAATAATTATAACAATAATTTCTTTTTATTTGTTGTACATATGATCTTTTAATTCAGATTAAATAGAAGGAAAAATAAATTACAGCTTGGCTGTATAAATATATTATCTCATGAAAGATTTTAGGTAACAGTATTATAATGAAAAATAAATTAATTAGGAATTGCATCGCATGAATGAGGATCTTCTGATCGAGCTGTTACAAAATCACATAAAAGTCCTCGACGACAACTATGATCACATTCATTTCCATTTGCATATGATTTTGTATAATATTGATATACTAAACTCATTAATGGACCATCAATATCATTTTTTAATCTTTGAATTAAATTATGCCAATCATTTGGAAATAAATTTTCCATTTCATATGCATATCGAATATCATATTCATCAACAAAAATTGTTCTATTATATAGATTTGTTGCTGTTAAATTCATAATTACTGTTCGATGATCAAGTACCCAATAAGAACTTCCTGGATAATTACCATCGATTTTATATACACGATAACCAGGATTCAGATTAGAAAAAGTTGTTAATGATGGTGTTATATAAGCCTTCAAGGAATAATTTCAAAAATTTATATTAAAAGAAATTACAAAACAACATACCATTGATACAGGACGTTGACGATCGATTTCATCATAATTTATAATAAATTCATCATTATGTGTATGTCCATAAAATTGTCCAGCAATTGTATTTTCATATCTAAGAAATCAAAAGATTTTTTAAATCAAACAACTTCATATCAAATTCTTACCGATTAACAATTGTATGAAAATTCCAACTAAATGATGCTAAACATTTATTCGGTGCAAGATGTCCAATAATATGTACTTTTTCTCCATGATCTTCTGCATATTGTAACCATTCAATCATCTACAATAACAAAAAACAATTATCTTGTTCGATTCATTTTTAATCTATATAAATTATACCCATTGAAGTTGATTTAACGGATCAGTTGAATTAATAAATAACCAAAAATTTTCCGAAGAACAATAATTCATATTTAATGAAATTAATCGTAATCCTGGTTGTATTGTTGTTGTATAAAAACCTCCACGTTCGATACTTTCATGTGTATCAACTGGTAAACCAAGTTCAATCCAACTATCAGCTAATGCTTGATATAACCATGTTATATTATCTGAACGAACATTAGGCGTAGGAAAAAGATTGCACGGAGCTATGTAATTCAAAAACTTTTAAATTCATATATTTATCTCATAAATAATCTCTTACCTGCTTCATGATTACCAACAGCTGAATAGAATGTTGTGTTAGGAAAAGTTCTAGCTAATAATTGATTGATTGTATTTAATGAATAGAGTTGTTCTTCTCGAGATTGATTCCAAATATTATGTGATGGTATATCACCAGTGTAATAAACAAAATCTACCTAAATCAAGAAAATTTGTATTATTATTTTTTTTGTGTTTATTAATACTTTTTCTAATTCTGAAGCATATTGAAGTATAACTTCTGCTGTCCAATAAGGAATATCACAATTATGTAAATCACCCCTAAATTAATAAAATATTTGATAATATTAAAGAAAAATGTTCTTACCAAAATCCAGCACCTGGTTGTCCTGGAGCTAAATAGGCAGATAATCATTGCAAAAGTTTATACTATCATCGAGATACATACCTGGTTGACCATTTCGACAACATAATGGTTGTAAACAATCAACTTGTGATCCAGGTGTATAAGAAAAATCAACATGAATATCAGATAAATGCAAAACAGTAAATATAGGTGATCCAGGCTAAAATAAAATATATAAAGCGCTTAATAGTATCAATATTGTTGTTTTTTTTTCTTTAATTTCATGTTTTCTATGTTAATCTATTATGCTATAACATTAAATGAATCATAGAAAAAAAGATCAGATTGATCTATGTAAACAATTATTAAATTTAAAACCAAAAAAGAAAAGAATTAAACATTGGCAACCAAAATTAACATTAGATGAAAAATTTCTTTTTGATAATGAAAAATTTCTATCTGCATATCAAACTATTATTGCTAATACATGTGGACAACATCGTCATCAACAACAAGTACTATTCAATAATTTAATATTTCAATCTTCTCTCTCTCTTTGTTATGTCATTAGAATAAAATTCTAAAGAATCATTCATCGATTGAACAAACTCTTCTACCTATTCATATATTTTGTCGAAAAGGAGTTTATCCAGGAACATCTATTTCACGTCAACAAATAAATGATGATCAAGTTCCATGGACTGTGAATCTACCAGAGTAATATTATTCGTTTTTAATTATTCTAAAAAGGGTGTGTCGCTTTTTTGAGAAGTTCGCTAGCTCTTTCTTCGGAGTTCTAAAACAACAAACTCTAATTGTTAGGTAAAAAAATTTGTTAAATTTTCACATTGTTTTTAAAGTTATAATCCACCATATTATACACATTCATCACTACTTGTTAATACTAATGATACAGATCCCGAAAAATTATTATCAAATTTTATGTGGAATACTTTTGATACAAAATATAATGTTGATCGACGTACAGCCAGTCCAGTTGGTTCTTATAGAATTGATAATAAAGGTTATCCATTAAATCCTCTTGGTCGAACAGGTTTACGTGGACGAGGACTATTAAATCGATGGGCAGTAAATTATCTAACTCATCTTGTCATAATGTGTGGTACGAATGAAATAAAATCCGGAAAAGAAGTATTTAAATATATTATGAAAACATCAGACGATAATTATTATGATCATCTACCATCTACATCGACAACAGGTACTAATATGAATGCCATTAGTAAAACGCTTGCAACATTTCTTAATAATATATATCAAACATGGAATAATTTTGATAATATTCATGATGAAAAAATCAATGAAATTATTGATCATTTAACATTTGTTAGTACTGCTTATATTGGTAAAATAAAAGATTAATATTATTTCGATAAGAATTCTTTTACAAATAGATGATTCAAAAAATACAGATAATGCATGGCTTGAAACATCTATTTGTTGTTATGTCCAAACAAATATCAATAAAAATATATCATCAAATCAACATATCGATCTTAATCAACTTTTTCCTGATCCATCATCAAATGAAAAACTAACTTATACATGGCGTTATGTATCACATACAACTAAATTACTCGATAGTGAACATAATGTTATTAAACTTATTGCTAAACGATATAATGCCTATTGGTAATTTACTTGTGGTGGTTGCGGAGGTTGTGGTAATGGTTTTGGTTTATCAGGAAATGTAACATTCCATGTTATAATTGGATAATCAATTTGTTTATAGCATTTAAATACTAATTGACAAAGTTGTTTATTACTATAACTCGATAAAGATATAACTGCAATGACAGCATCCTATTTAAAATAAATATATATTTTTTTTTGTTAAGAACTTTTCTTTACTCGATATTCATGTACAGCACCAATACAAACATCAAGATCAATTAATTTAAATTCTCGACAAAATCCCATAACAATATTTTCAATATGAGCAGTTTGATTTGCTTCAATAAGTAAACGAATCTAATGAAAATAGATGAAATTTTGAAGAATAAATTTAAACTAAATCAAAAATATTCTACCACAGGTACAACTAAATCACAAAATTCACAATAAGCTTTATTATATCGATGTTTAAGTGTCCAATGAAGTTGTTTTAAATTTATTGAATGTTCAAAACGATGCTGATAATTGGCAATTGTTAGAGCAACTTCATGATTATCAATAGAATCTTGTTCATTAATTGATCGACTATCAGTTATAATTATGTATAAAGTTAAAAAATAAAATAAAATGCATATATAACCAAATCTTGATGACATAATTGATCTACTAAGATATAAGAAAAGAATACAACTAAAATATTTTATCTTGTACATTTCTATCACAATCATAGTTTTATTATTATATTTATCACAAAAACAAAAAATTTTACATAATATATCACAGTTATTGTAAATATCGTGCAATTGTACGATGAATTGGAAATGTTTCTCCGTATTGACAAATATCTGCTGAATCATCAAGATGAAGACCCTAAATATAAAATTCTTTATTTTCGAATAATTTTTTTTCTTCAACTTACAAAAGTAAATGCACCTCCATAACCATTTGCTTTAATAAACAAAGCTTTTTCTTCTGCTGCTCGTACATCACCAACATTCGTCCATTGATCTTTATAATATGTATAATTAACTTTTGCTTCATCATCCCAATGTGATCCAGCAGTTCTAACAAGTAAACAAAATTCAATAAATGTCATCCATCCACCACCATAACCAGGACCAATAACAGGTGCTGCGAAATCATGAATATTACTATTATTCAATTGAAATGTATGACCAAGTCCTTCGAGTCCTATAAGAATTTTATTTCGTGGTACACCTTGTTCAACAAGATAAGCAGCACTCCATTCTGTATTATAATATCGAGCATCGCCTACTTCAACATTTTTCGGGTAAATTGGTGAACTATAACCAGTTTGTTTATCATAAATACCTTAAAGAAATACATGAGAATGAATTTGTCTATTTTAATTTAAATGATAACTTACTATGATAATCATAAGTCATTAGATGAATAAGATCAAGTACTTGACTTAATTTTTCAATTTCATAACAATTATCAATAGTATTTTTACCTGCTCCAACAGCTGTAGTTAAAAGAAATTCATTATGAAATACTTCATCAACAGCTATACGAAGTTTTTCAATAAAACTAGTATAAATTGATTTATATTCACCACATGGATATTCCCAATCAAAATCAAACCCATCAAGATTCTATTGAATTGAAAAAAATATGAATTAGAAATAATAAAAATTTATAAATTACTTGAATTTTAGCAAAATTAATAAGCGATGAAATGAATGTCATTTGTGAATCAGAATCTTTTAAAGCTGATTTCCATTCAGCATCATCACCAAGAATTGATGGAATCAATTTTAATTTATTTCCATCACGTGTACGATAATCTCGCATACTTTCAAGAGCAATAAAACCATTGTAAGGATGCTCAATAACACTTAGTTCAAGATTCCTAACGAAAATTGCACCAATAAGTAAAACATGTGTACATATACCAGTAGGTAATTGTTCAGGTAAGACTAATGGTTGATTATAATCATAATAACACCCAACTAGATACGACTGAACAATGGGAAATAGCAGAAAAATAAAACATATCAATTTTTCCATGTGTCTGTATAAAATCAAATGATCGATGACTCATCCGTAGCAACATATAGCTCATTTGATTGGTGATTTGTCTGCCATAATAATAGTCATTGGTCCTCTAATTTATATTTCTCAAATAAATTTTCTAGAAATTCTCAAGAAGATTTTATGAATTACATATAATCTTTTAAATAATACTATAAAAATAAATTCTTTATAATAATTGGTTATAAAATAATGATGAAAAAGAAATGAATGAAGAATAGATATATAGATAGAATGCACATTATCAATGTAATAGAAAACAAACAAAACTAAGCTAAATTAATCCGCCTTATTCCATTCTACATCTTCTTTTGGAATATGTCGATTGGAATAACAGAAAAACAAGTTTCATATGATAATCCATGTGCACCTCTAGTGAAATTTTCTCATTCAAATAATATTGATGATTTTGACGACGACGACGGAGATATGATGGATGATCAAACAACATCTTCAAATACTCCCACTGAACCAACTATTGGTGAGTAGAAGACAAAAAAAGATCTTTTTCGAATATTTTTATCTTCTTTTAACAGGACATTCATTCAAAGCACTTTCACTCGAAGATCTTGTTAAATCATTTGATAATACAATCCATGCTTGTTTTCCAGAACAACAATTAAATATATCCGAAGAAGAAGAAGATGAATCTATGAATAAATCAAAAACCGATCTTATCACTACATCAAAGTTTGTTAATTTCATTTTAGTATATTTCATATGATTTATTTTTTTTTGCTCTATAATTAGTACTTGGTCAGAATTAATTGAAAATCTTCGTACATCTTTACGTAATGATTTAAAATTACCTCATATATCTCAAAATTGTCAAATAGCGATGAATAGTATTTGTGAAAAAATTTCTTCTCAAGATGAAATTCAATCAATTGATGATTTGAATGAAGATGAAGAAGAAGAATTACGTGAACAATTAGATATGCACTCAGTTATTGTTTCATCAAATAATTTTCTTCATGAACCTTTTCTTACAGCTGAACAAGTAATTAGTGAAATTGATTTTATGTTACAAGATATGACACCCGATTCAGGTTATTGTGATGATATACTTGATTTACATACATCACGTATAAATAATAATAATGAATTTCAATTAAAAAATCAATCAATTTATAATTTAAATGAATTATATGAAGAATTAAATACATCTATTAAAGATTTATCAAGTATACTTGTACAAGAATTAGCTTTACGAGATGATCTTGAAGATGAAAAAGAAAGTAAAAATACATTTATTTCACTTGTACTTAGTATTCAAGTAAGATAATCGAAAATTATATTTATTTAATATGCAAAAAACTATTTTTTCTTAGAACAAACGTCGACATTATCAAAATGAAAAGCGTCAAAAACGTCGTTCTCTATTTGGGAATAGCAATTATATCGAACCGGGAACTGTAAATTTTTATTTTATTTTTTTTCTTCTTATCATCGGAAAACATTAATATATTATTGCACTGAAAGATACGATTAATATGAGCGTATGAGAGCAATATGTTATTAGTCTCGCTATGTGTATAGGGAATTCTTCTTCTTCTCTAGCGACAAATGAAGTGTGGATGTGTGTTCTATGAATATTTATTATTATCATCGAGATGGACTGCTAAGCAAACTTTTTCTTTCCTATTCTAGACTATGACTGTCTAGCTTTGTTGTTAATTAGATTAGAATGGTTAGAATGTAGGGGGGAAAAAAAAGAGGTCATATTGATTGAAAAGAATGTTTTAATTATCTAACAATTCTTTCTCATCGGAAATAATAAAAAGACTAAAATTGAATAAGATCAGACGAGTTTCCTTCTTTAATCTTCATTTGCTCTAGTCTGCTAACAAGATGTTAGAAAAAACATATTTGCATTAAATCATAATACTGTCTCTTAATATATACATCAACTATACGAAATGGCTACCATGACAGTCATATAAACAACATATGTCAGACTTTGACTGTAACAAGATATGCTAAGTAATAGAATTGATGAAAACATCTTCCCCTAAAAGCTCTTCTTCTTCTTCTTATTCTTTTCCTATCAATATGATATAAATAATGATCTATAATAAGATTGTCTTTTCATTGAAATATAATCCTTGACAACTAATAACTAATAATAGTTTTACTATAAAATTTATTTTATTTTAGTATTTAACAACAGTTATTCCATTTGATCCTAAACATCCATCATATTTATCTGTTGAACATTTACAAAATTTAAATAAAAGTTAGTTAAATCAATATAATATAAATTATTTTTATTTTTGTTATATTTTAGTTCTTCAAGCAATTAATGAAGATAGTCCTCAAGTACCGGAATTATTAACAAATTATATTCTTAAAGTTTTATGTCCTTGTTAATGAAGGAAAGAATTTTTTTTTGTTTTTCTATTAATTATTCTAGTCATCTTTAATAATCTTTTACTGTTTGTATGTGCTTTTTCTTTTTCTGTATGTTTAGTTCTTAATGAATGAGATCATTCAGATATATATATATATGCCAGCTTGCATTTAACGTCAAAACAAAAAACAAATGATTAATTATTTTATTTAGTTGTCTACCAGTTGAACTGGTAGATAGCTATGCGTTATTTATGCTTGTATTTGAGACATAATATTAAATTTATATTGTGTATATTGTTGTTTGAAAAAATAAATAAATAAATAACTAAATAAAATAATTCGAATATTTTAACTTGTAGACATAAGAATGATTTTACTTCGTTGTCTACTTTGTCCGACATGGCGTCGTATGGGATATAATAATCTAGTAAAACCGATAATTAGGAATGAAACAACAACAACATCGACAACAACTTCAGCTTTTTCAAATATTCAAAAATCTCTTTCGAATAACGTACTTGTTTTTGAATATAAAGATCGAATTTTACCAGTATTAGGTGTTCTTGGTTTTATTCAATTTATTGCATTTGATCTAATTGCTTATTGGAGTTTTTATTTGTTTGGTACAGTTACTGCTAAACAAGAAAATTTAACATCAGAATCAACATTACTTGATCGTGCAGCAACGATTGTACCTACAAAGAAATTTCGATACACAACGAATGCTATTATTGTATTACTTAGTAAGTTTCTCTAGAAGACAAAAAAATGATTTCAATATCAGATTAAACATTCCTTGAATTACGATAGTGATTGACATGGATCTATAGCAGTTCTACGTTTGAAAAAAAATGACCCTATACATTTAAACAGAATAGAGTTCGATCTTTTACTGAAATATTTAACTTAATATAGTTATGCTCCAGTAAGGATTGATCTAGATATGCTTAGTTTTTCACAAGTAAAGAATATATGATACGGTAACTATCTCAGAACATTTCGCTTGCCCTAACAAATCAAAATTTCGTAATTATTAGGAAACATACGTATATTTAAAAATACTTCTTTTCTCGCTTATGCCATTTTATTGTAAAATTGGAGTTGTTCAGAATAATCGTAGTAGAAGTTAGATATCTAAATCAAATTAATACTGATAGACAAAATTTGTTAATATTTCAGGAGAATCTCAATAGTAAATTCATCATCAGTAGTTTCAATTAATCTAGATATAAGGTTTGATGAACTTTGAATTAAAACTATTCAAAATATATCATGTTGTTTTTATATATAAGACTACAAAATCATTTCTACGCTGTGAATATAGTAAATTTAATCAAGCAAAAAACTCTTATTTACCAATGCTTGATAGTATCTTGCAGAAGTAAAATCGATAACGATTACTGACGTACTTACTTTCCTGTATTTTTCTTATAACAATGTACTTGAGAGTTATGCTAGATTTTAATAGTATCTCATGCAAGAATATTTAGCGTAAGTTGACAGCATCAAATATCACTACTAAGAGATACAATTGTAGTACTGGTATTAGTTTATAACAATATTGATTTTAAAAGAACTTACAGGAATTACTTTATTTATATTTGAAAATATTGTACCATTGCCAACAAACATACATAATAAAAAGTGTTGTTCGTATTTAGTCTTTTCACTCAACGTAAGATTTGATAATCTGTGTAAAAAAAAACTTTCGAATATTGACTTATGACTATAAAGCTAAATAAGAAAAACATTTCCTTTATATCGATTGTCATTTTAGGCGGTGCTATATTTGGTGCTTGTATAATCTATCCAGCTAGATGTATACGTCGCCTTTATCTACTCAAGGATGGATCGTCTATTGGTGTTGTTACTTATGCATTATGGCCTAATGCACGAAAATTTACTGTTCCATTAGAAAATGTATCAGCACAAACAGGATTAAAAGGTGTTGGTGTTTTTCATAAATTAAGTCTTAAAGATCGTTGGTTATCACATTTAGTCAATAATCGTGAAGGAAAATTTTATAATAAAACTATTTATGAAACTGTGATTGCTTTAAAACGTTTCTAGTTTGATTTTTTTTTCTTTAGAAAAATAAATATATATCCTATGTAGGAAAATTTTCAAATAAAAATTGAACTATAAATACATTAAATATGATAAAGATATCTAATGCTTAAAACAATATTTATTCATTTGGAATAATAATCTATAGTACTATTGTCATTAGACGAAAATCTTTCTATTCAGAACATTCAATAAAACTTAACTGTATTATCTGCTCTTCATCTAATATCAATCTGTCATTAATCAAGAAATTATTATCTGTACGTCAGATTAATATCAATGAACTTAGAGTGAGATTACTGTGACTAGAAGAAAAATACATTATTTGTATTACATAAGTTTAATCATTCAGTGAATAGATTATGAATATGATCAATTTATACGTTCGTTTGTTTATTATTTCATCGTTAATAATCCATTTCTATTATTATTATTGACGATTATATTATATACTTCAACTGTATACAAATTTCATTTTTCTTCGAGAGAGAGAACTATCATCTGGTCATACGTTCTTGACAATATGTAACGAAGTATAAATACAGTTTAGTTAAGAAATAAATTTGTTGTTGTTTTTACACGACATTCTCGTGTTTGGGTGATCGATTACTTAATAAGTACAACTATCATTTGCACATAGAATTCATGTAGTCTGTCAACGATAACAACCCACAATAGAAAAAAAAAAAGAAAAGCTCGAAGATTAACTCCAGAAGGTCAATGTACATTAATATCAATATTTCTTAATATATAAAAAAAATTCCATATACTAAAGGCCCTATAAAAACGTAGGTGTAGGTGATCTTAAGAGTATTTTCTTTTATATAGTATGTATATATATATATATTTATTAGAACGATTATGATCTTCTGTTCTTGTTTGTCTTAATAGATTGCCATGCAAATCTGATCTTTTTCTTCTTCTAGACAAAAACCTTCTTTTATTCTTCAACATCATTACGTTAGCAGTCTCAATTGCGGGATAAACAACATATAAATAGCATTCATAGATTCATCACATATGAAATTGTTATTTGTTGTTTTCTTTTCTCTTTTTTTTTCTATTCTGGATAAAAACTGACATTTCCTATCCATTGCCGATATTGTCATGATGTCTTCATCGTTATATAGCTAAAGACAACGTTATATTATGCAGTCGTCTTTCTACATATACTTATAAGATTATCAGCACCAGTCGTAGACTCTTCCATTTGTAGAATACGTGTGGCGAAAAAACATTCAGTAGATGATGTGTGTATTTTTATTTGTTGCTTTTATCGAGAAAAAGATCTACATCTTGTTATTTATGACAAGAAAAAAAATATAAATGGGAGTTTCATTGTTATATTAGGATGTTTTTTACATCAGTCTAATGACCTTTTTAGAATAAAGCTTGTTATTACATGTAGTTATTCATGCTGAAAATAAGAATTAGATATACAGTTTTTATTTGAAAAAATTGGTATGTATATTATGAAGTTCTTTATTTTCAAAAAAAACAACTCTATTTTGAAATTAAACAAAAAACATATATCGATAGTGTTCATCATCATCATCATCATTACAATTAATGTATTCGTTTAGTTATGATTCTGTATATCGAGGGACGATTAGCATTCTTTTTACTCTATCACTATTGTGGTTGTCGATCATATTGGATGGCTTATCTCAATACATTTACTTGTCTTCTTAGCTCGTTTTCTGTCCATATCGAACGATTGCAATATGCTTTCATATCTTATGTCTCTCATTTTCCTGTCGTTAGGAATGGGCGTGATGCTGCGTTGGCCCTTTCTCGTAGTTGTTGTTGTTGTTGTTGTTGTTGTTATCTTGTCAATTGTCTTTTTATAGTTGTTCTCTTCATTGAAGAAGAACCTTTCATTTCTTTTCTTTTCTTTGGCCTTTTTTTCTTACTATCCTACCGATCGTTACATGCATATATTTTAGTTGTTTACCGCTGTTGCCTTACAATTATCCATCAATAGACAATGTTCTTCTATTCTTTTTCTAGAAAAGTAACCGAAGAGAAAAACAAGCCATAAGTCAGAATGCAACAGATATCATGTACAGAAGAAAGAAGGAGGAAAAAAAAGAACTTTTGTCATCATTTTGCTTCTCGGTATTGGATTGTACTAACAAACTATATTTTTCTTCTTTTCCTTTTCTCCATCTGTGTGATATATTGGAAATGCTAGACGATCAGCAGCAATTTATATAGCATATACAGGAATGGACATATTTTTTACCGCACACAATAGTACATGAATATCTTCGTCTTGTTCTTTTTCTTTCTTTTTTTTTTCTCTTGAGTCTTGGCTTGTCGTCGACCCTCCATAATCCTTTTTATGATTATTTCTTTGATACTTTTCTGTATATAGACATAGACATAACTGCAAATGGAATGGATAATATCTTTTCTTTTCTTCTTTTTTTTTTTTGATTTTATTTTTTAAGATAGATAAATAGTTAGCAAAATCGATCGATTGACGAAAAACGAATGGCAGCTAGTGCACCTAAATTTACTAAGCCGCCAGCTATTCGACAATCACCCGATGATTCTACCCGTCTCTATCTCGAATGTCAAGTACAAGGAACACCCAAGCCCGATGTGACTTGGTTTCAAAATGAGGCTAAACTTTCAACTACATCTACAAAACATAAACAAACAATTAAAGTTGCAACTGGAAATAATTATGATGTTACACTTGAAATTACTGAGCTTGGTCCAAATGATGCCGGAACATATAAAATTGTCGTTAATAATAAAGCTGGTGAAATAACAGCTAATGTTAACTTGAATTTTTCAAATGAAGATGATGCTGCTGCTGCACCAGCTGCCAGGTTAGAACTAACAAAAACAAAAACTTTTTGTTTTCGAAAAATTTTAATTTTCTAATTCTAGTTCGGAAGAAGGTACTGCACCAACATTTATTCAAAAGCCAATTATAAAACAGGAAAATGATGGTAAACGCTTAATATTTGAATGTAAAATAGCAGCTGATCCTAAACCTGATTTATTCTGGTCACGTGATGATGTTGCCATACAAGATTCAGGTCGTTATTTAATCTATTGTGATCCATTACCAAATAATGCTTATGTTGCTTGTCTTGAAATTGATGATGTTAATGCATCTGATGCTGGAAAATATAAAATTTCAGCAAAAAATAAATTAGGTGAAAGTAATGCACATATTCAATTAAATCTTGATAGTACGTACTAGACCAACAAAAGACCATTTTTCTTTATAAACGAAAAATATTTTTAGATCAAGAACAAGGTAGTAGTGGTCGACCAACATTCACTCAAGCACCACAAGTACGTATGTTTGAAGAATCAGTACTTTTGGAATGTCGATGTACAGCTGAACCCGTACCAAGTTTTACATGGACACTTGATGGCAAACCTATTACGATGGGAGCAAGATATAAACAAGGAATTTTATCTGAAGGAAATACACATACAATTTTTCTTGAAATTGCTCAGTTAACTGCAAAAGATTCTGGTGCATATAAAGTTACAGCTAAAAATGTGAAAGGTGATGGTGTAGCTAATATTCAATTAAATATTGAAGGAATTGATTTCAAGTATGTAGAAAAAAGGAAGTTTAAATATTTGATTTGATTTATCTTTTGATTAGATTACCTGAAGGTATTGCACCATCATTTCTCAATAAACCGTCAATTAAACAAGATGCTAAAACAGCTACTGTTCAAATTGATATTATTGCTGATCCAAGTCCATCATTACATTGGACTAAAGATGGAAAAGAATTACTTAATGTCGATAAAGTTGTTACACGTATTGAGCGAAAAGGTGGAAATCAATATACAATTTCACTTGATATTAAAGTATAAAGAAAAAAATTCCTTTTTGTTTTCGATTATCAAACAAAATATTTTTTTTGTTTCGTATAGAATTTAGCTTCATCGGATAGTGGCGTATATAAATGTACATTATCCAATGAATGTGGTACAGCTGTAGCGAATGTTGTTATCAAAGTTGCTGGTATATGATTTAATTAATTTCTCTGTCTTATTTAAATTAAAAAAATGTTTCTTATTTTCAATAGGTGATAAAGCTAATTTAGAACAATTAGATAAATTAGCTCCGGCATTTGAAAAACCTAAAACTACAAAAGATATTAAACAAAAATCAATTAAAATTGAATGCCGTTGTAAAGGTAAACAAGAACCAAAAGTAACATGGAAAAAAGAAAAAACCGAAATTAAAGAAACTGCTAATAAATATAAAATAACGAAAACAAAAGAAGCTGATGATACATATTTATTTATTCTTGAAATATTAGTAAGATTTCAACTTTAATATAAAATCAAAATTTATTTTTCTTGCAATTTAGAGTGCTACTTCAACTGATACTGGTGTTTATAAAATTTTTGCTAAAAATGATGCTGGTGATTCTCAAGCATTAGTTAATTTAACAGTCGATGCTGAAGCTTCACCACCGTAGGATAATCATTTTTATGCTAATAGATATTTAAAGTATTTCTCATATATATATATAGGAAAGATGAAGAAGAGAAAAAACCTAAACCAGCACAAGCAGCTAGTAATAAAATGACAGCACCTGTTTTTGCTGATAAACCAAAAGAAGTGGTATGTTGTTGATATATTAGTTATTTTCTTTTTCTCTATATTTGCGTCTTTATATTTTCTAGACAGCTAATGATGGTGATAAAGTACAAGTAGAATGTAAAGTTACTGGTACACCAGCACCTGAAATTACATGGTTTCTTAATAAGAAAGAAATTAAACCATCAGCTGTAAGTTCAATCTATTTTCTAATTAATTGTAGTAATGAAAGCTATAAATCATCAATATTCTTGAAGTTTTCTAACTAATATATATGATAGATAACAAAAAAACATAATAGTTAGTAATCTCTACTGATTCCCTGTTGTTGTCGTCGTCGTCTAAGTATCGCTAAAAGCATGAATTATTAATATCAGTATTTTTGAGTTTACTTCGACATATAATAGCATGTT